AAGGGAAATGTTCTTTCCCGGTGTGCATGGTGATCCCTACACCATGCAATGCACTCCCGGGTCAGCTCCCTCCTTCTCCCCAGGAGCACGCACAGCAGTTCCACTCCAGGAAAGTCATGCACTTACCAAACCTCAGAGTTTGAACTCCAAATGCTGTTTGCAACAAACAAACAACAAAAAACCTTCAACAGTCAGTACTTATTGCTCCCCACTCTGTGGTCCAGAGAGGTTTTCCTCTTGTGCTAACTCTATGCCGCATTTTCTCACCTCCCCCTCTTTTTCTCTGCCTTTTGTCTCTCCACAAAAAGGGTTCCCTCCCCTTAATGGCACTGCCATTTTTCTCCCCCCCCCCCACACACACAATTCACTTCCACACAGCTCACACCTGCCAAGCTGTCTCTCTCTAACTGTGGAGATCCTTCTACAACTCCACAGATCAATTTCCTCGGTGTTCCAAGTGATCTGACCTCAATGCAGCTGGGCTTGAAGGATGAGGAAATCCCAGGGTCCCCCTACTTCTCCACCATCTTAATTCCAGCAAATATACCTTCTGATTACTAAAATAAGATTGTTTAGAATTAATAGAAGTGACCAGAGAACTTATTGTCTAAGCATGATTCTAAAAGTCTCTCATACGCTAGAGATTTTTCCCAGGAGGAAGGGAAGAGCCAGCCTCTCAAAGAAGGTCTTAACAGGCACCAAGGGGAGGAATAGAGTCATTTCTTGACTCTATCTTATAAGGACTGTTTATTTGACAAAAATTACACAGAGAGATGGAAAAAAAACAGAAAAAGAAGACTTCACCTAAAAAACAGAGAGAAGAACCAAGTGAAGTTAAACTGCTGACACATAGAATCCCTGTCCTGGTACAATATGCAGCCAGACAAGGCCTTGAGGCTCACAAAGATAAACCACTGAATGGTCTGCTTTTCTGGACTAGTAGATGTTTAAATTACTATCTGTTATCAATAACACTTACATCAACTCTTACATAATTACTCAAAACTGAAATCATCCATGAACACTGAAATATCTATTCTTCCTGTAAACACCATCAGGAATGTTGACTGGAAGGCAGGAAACAATGATATGGAGAAGTGAGATTTCAGGGACAAGATTGTGGGGTAGGGAGGATAGTCAGCAAGCCAAGGGATGAAAGAGTCAGGAAAACACTGACAAAAATAATAATGCACATGCACAGCAAACATTTACTGGGGGCTCTTTATTCATAGAATCTCATTTAATCTTCACAGCAGCCCATAAGTAGAATGAGACAGTGTCCTGGGTGAGTGTGTAGGTTTTACACTTGGAAATGCGCCTGTTATGAGTGCTCAGTATAAGTTACATACAGTCCTAAGATGGGTGTTATTATCACATTCTGTGGAACTGTGAAGGAACTGAGACTTAGAAAGTGAAGTCAATCATAGGGGCCATGTGGTAAGTAAAAAAATGATGGTGGAATTTGAACCCAGAGCCTGATTCCAGGGTCCTCATTCTTAACCTGGGGGTTTGATACCCACTCTTCTCTCATTTAAGCCTCCTTTCCTCTGATACCCAACAGGTCCAGAGGCTCTTTATTCACCTCGGCAGTGCCTTGCCGTCAGCCAGTTGTTGACCAAACCCTGAACCAAAGGTGAGGCTGATAGCCAGGAGACTAAACGTAATAGTGCCAGGAGTCTTGGCCTTTAGAGGAGGGTTTTAAAGACTGAAAAGATAAGGACAAATGTCCTAGTAGAAGTCCTATGGATGATATACTTTCATCCAGTGGGAATTTCTTGAGCAAGAAATAGGAGAGGGGAGAAAGGAGAGAGTGAAGAGGAAATAGCCAGACAATAGCCAGTCAAAATCACTACATCTTTTGACATAACTATCACAAATAACTGCCTTGTCCATAACCAGATTGCTAACTTTGCTTCAGAGGTGAACAGCAGATGGAGCTGAGTCTCTTGACATGGGTGCAGAAATTGCTTCTCAACAGCTTTGAAGAGCTAGAGCTCATAATTACGAAAATTATAGAGCAAAGAAAATGAGGATGGAGGGGTAGGCTATATCACGATAATGGGTACAACAACACTTATCCTAGTGACGGGGTTAAATTCTGCCCACTCTCCCCTTTCATTTGGATTCATTTGGGTTTAAGTTTTGTATGATGTTCTTTATCCTTTGCAAATACCAAATAAACCTTATACTGGGATTCCCCATCCTACCCAGTACCTTTTCTTTTCTCTCCTCCAATCCTCTCTCATCCTTATCCACTCAGCAAACACCTCTTTTACTGAATATAACTCAAGGTCTCAGTCTGCTCAGTGGCACAAGGCAGGAGTCACACTTCCAATAACCGTTTAAGATGTTCCACTGTGACCACACTCAACCTGCTCAGACTCAAACTCATCTTCTAACACAAATATATTCTGTTTCTTCAGCACCCATTAACAATAACACCCGGGAGTCATCTTTCATAATTTTATTCTCAATTTCCCATTAACTGAATCCTATAAATACACTTCTCTGATGATGCTTCTCTCATTAGTACCCTTTCCTACCACGACCACCACCTTACTTCAGACTTCAAGATGTTTATAATCTCTTTGAAAAGGCTACTGCATCTTTTGCTCCACTGCCCCATCCACTAGTCCATCCCACCCTTTGCTGTCAGAAATCTCTGTCAACACCTTAGACAATCATTTCACAATTTTAACCAAAAGTCATCAGCCAAGATGAACTTCCTGAGTCCAAGACACTATGTATCCCACCCACTTGCCTTTCCCACACCAACCTCCTACTACCACCCAGGCACACTCCTGGTGCAGCCATAGAGATCCACTGGCCAGGCCTTTGAAAAGGCAAGGAAGGAATTTTCTCAGAGGCAAACCTGTCTACTCTAAGGCAGGAATTTTGGTTAACACAATACGTCAGAACTGGTCAGGAATATCAACTCAAGCTCTATACAATAAGGAGAGTTTACCTTGGACATCAAGAGATATCCACTCCCTGATTAAAAAAAATTCCAAAGCACAACAATCAGTGAAATATAGGCAGAAACACAGAAAAAGAGCTGAAATAATTTAGGATGTGTGGAGTGGCAAAAAGAGGTTTCAGACTCTCGTATTACAAACTAGGGAGAAGAGAATCAAAATGACTGTGAGCAATCCAGGAAGCTCTACTAGAAAGGTGGAGGAGCAAGTTCAAAAGAGGTAAAATTTGGGAGGAAAGAGAGACCATGTGTAAACAGAGCTTTTCTGCTACTAGCAACAATGAGCCTTCTTATCCTTAGAACTCAATAGTATTCATCATGGTCTGATTTCACCAGCATGAATTTTGAAAGACAGCAAAGGGGGGTGAAGAAGCAGTCTATTCTCAAGGGCTTGAGTTGAGCTGGGAGCTCTGGAGTCACACAACAATAGCTACCTGATGATGCAGTGATGAGGTCACAACTGGGGCTTTCCCTCCCCCACCCCCTAGCTTCCTCAGAGCTGAGCAGAGGAGCCAGAGGGAAAATCCACCTTCTCAAGCACAGAAATACCACCCACCTCACTCAACTACTTGTCAAGTTCACTACCAATACAAAAGGGTGAGTTGCATTTGGACAACTGGAAATGCCCCGTCTTTTTTCTCTCCTTTCCTGAGAATGACCTACGGCATCCCATGCATTGAACAGGGTTAAGACGATGGCTATTTTTGAATGAAATCCTCCTCTCATTTTTGGTAACAAGAAAGGGGGTAGCTTTATCCCCTTTGAAAGAGATATTCTTAACAAATTTGGAGTTTAATTTAATGATCCATTTCTCCAGAGAGCTATGCTGATTTTAAAACTAAATTAGATAAAAGTTTACTTTATATTCTTAAAGGAAACCAAAGGTGTACCAGTTAGATACAACTTGCAAGTATTTTCAGGGACTGAAAAGCCGTGTTCATACCTAGAAGTAAAACCATCCATAGAAGAAGACCTAGCTCAGGCCAAAACTTAACAGAGGGATAAAAAAAAATTCTTCCTTAAAATCATATTTTGTGGCTCTCACATTCATGTTTTCAGAAGAATTAGAATTTCCAAGCTCATCTCCCCCTCTCCTGATTTCTTCCCTTCCTGTATTCATGGGGAGGAGGAGTCCCATAGTGGCCCATGGGAGTTCAGCCATGGTAGAAATTGAATTATCTTCCCATCCCAAGTTCTCAAGTGAAGAAATCAAGGCTTTGAGGTCTTAGGCAGGACACAGGATTGAAAGAAGTGTCCTGAGTCCCTAGACCCACTATTATATCTTCTTGTTCCATCTCCAGATGGAGGTGGCCCTAAAGGAGTTCTTTAAAACCCTTGTTATGCCATGAATGCCTTTAGCAGTCTAACCAAAGTTATGACTTCAGAATAGTACATTTAGATGAATTAAAACACAGGGTGTTACAAAAGATAGCAATTAAATTGATAAATATATGATTAAATATGATTTTATCATGGGTGAGGGGTGGTTCCAGGATGCTAGGTTGAGAACTCCTATTGGGAGATTTGGAATGGAGGCAAGAGTAAGTGAACAAAAAGCAGAGTAAAGGTGGAGAGACCAAGAAATATCATCCACTCCAAGGACAAGAGGACAGCCTTTCAATAAGAATTTGGTCTAGAGCTGGGGCGCCTGGGTGGCTCAGTCGGTTAAGCATCCGACTTCAGCTCAGGTCATGATCTCGCGGTCCGTGAGTTCGAGCCCCGCGTCGGGCTCTGTGCTGCCAGCTCAGAGCCTGGAGCCTGTTTCAGATTCTGTGTCTCCCTCTCTCTGACCCTCCCCCATTCATGCTCTGTCTCTCTCTGTCTCAAAAATAAATAAACATTAAAAAAAAATTTTAAAGAATTTGGTCTAGAGCCCAAACCACCCTGGGAAAGTTTTCATAAGAGCAAGGATGGGAAGGAGATATGAGTGGGAAGGCATTGCTGGTCCTCTCCTACCTTGCTGTATGGTCTCCCACATACCACCTGTTGCATATTTCTTTACAGGGCCCAGAAAATCCAAAAAAGAATGTCGAGTGATGATAAAAATAAATCTAGTGACCCCAAGAATGAGCCCAAGAACTGTGATCCCAGATGTGAACAAAAGTGTGAGGCCAAATGCCAACCCAGCTGTTTAAAGAAGCTTCTGCAACGGTGCTCTGAGAAGTGTCCACGGGAGAAGTGCCCACCACCACCAAAGTGCCCACCATGCCCCTCGCTGTGCCCCCCACCGTGCCCTCCTCCATGCCCAGCTCCCTCCCCTCCCAAGCCCTGTGCCAAGCCCTGTCCTCCTAAATGCCCACCACCCTGCCCACCCCCAGAGTGAGGCACCAAGTGTACCACTCAACCCACTACCTCCAACATCTCCACCATGTTCACCATCTTGGTGCTGAAACCTGAAGCCATGAACTGACAAGTAAACATATTCCTCTGCTGTGCAAAGCTTTCTTCTCCTGTGTTTTTTTTCTTTTTCTCTTTTTTTAGTTTTTCGTTTGTTGTTTTCTAGCACTAAACCACCAAGACACAATCCCTCACTCTAGAGGGAGGCTAGAGCCCTTACTCTACAATCAACAACTTTTGAAAATGGCCTCCCCTCTGGCCCCACCTGCTGCATAGAGGAATATGGCATCTCTTGAGGGGCACATCCAGAGACTGCAGCCTGAGAGAGCTGTAAATATGGCTGTTACAGTGGTTCGCCTCAGGAGCCCAAGTACTCATGACAGAGGAAGTGGGCATGAGGGGGAAAGAGGAGTGGTACATTGAGGAAAGGTCCAGAAAGGCTCAGGAAAAATTCTACCCTCCGCTATTAATCCTACTGCATAATGCTTGGGCAGAACATTCTGAAAACAGGCTGAGTGGGCTTAAACTCTAGCTCTGCTCTGATCTTTGGTTTCATTCTCTCTGTAAAAGGAGTGCTGATGCTAGCAGTAAGCTTACAGGGTTGTCATGAGGCTTAGGGGGCGAACATGTGCCCAAGCACCTGATTTAATGGAACACAGCCAGCACTCCGAGAGGGGAGCACATGGCACCTTCCCGTCTCTCATATGTCACACCTGAACATAATTGCCCTGTGCCTTTTTTCCTTATTAGGCTGTAAGTCTCCTGAGGCAATAGTTTCTAAATTATACCTGTAAGCAGATAGGTACTCTTTTAAAAAAAAAAAAAAA